CCAGGCTGGCCTCGGACTCAGAGATCTGCCTGCCTCTGCCTCCCAAGTGCTGGGAATAAAGGCGTGCGTCACTGCCACCTAATGTCTTTTTCTTAAATATAATTTTATTTTGTGTGCATTGGTGTTTTGCCTGCATGAGTGTCTGTGTGAAGGTGTCAGATTTTCTGGAACTGAAGTCACCACCAGTTGTGAGCTAGGTGCTGGGATTGAATCCGGTGCCTTTTGGAAGAGCAGCCATTACTCTTAATGGCTGAGTCATCTCTCCAGTCCTGGTTTAATGCCTCTAGAGCTCTCTGCTTTACTGTCATTCTCTATTTTACAATAGTAATGCAATACTCTTCAACAGAACAACAGCTAAAGACAAAGTCAATCACCAAATGGTGACACCTAACACAGTTAAAAGAAAACGGAGCGTTGGGCGTTGGTGGAGCACGCCTTTAGTCCCAGCACTCGGGAGGCAGAGGCAGGCGGATCTCTGTGAGTTCGAGACCAGCCTGGTCTACAAGAGCTAGTTCCAGGACAGGTTCCAAAACAATACAGAGAAATCTTGTCTTGAAAAACCAAAAAAAAAAAAAAAAAAGGAAATGGAGCTTAACACAGGGGCAACCGACCTCAGGTCTCTATAGCGCAAAGTATCCCTGACCCAAAGAAATCCCAAAGTCAAAAGGAAAATCTACCTTGTCCACTTCAAGAATAGTGGAGTTGACCTTCTCAGTGTTCAGCAATCAAGGCTTAAGGACCAAAGCCAACAAAAACATAGAAGGGCTCAAATACAATCAATGTTTTGTCCCTTACCCTCCATTGTCAGCTAGAGTCCAAAGGATGTGGGTACCCCTTCTAAAAAGACTAGCCAACCCAGGGAAGTCACTATTTTAGAGACAATGGGCTAAAACTAAAGAGCAGAATCTTGCACTCGCTTAGTAGTCAAACCCTGACCACTTGTAGCTCGGCCTGGTGACTTGTGATTTTTGGGAGGGGGGGATTTGTTTTGAGAAGAGATGAAAACCCCCATAGTTGAGAATGCTTGTTGCTCTTGCAAAGGGCCCAGCACCCATATGATGGTTCACAACCATCTGTAACTCCAGTTCTAAGGGATCCAGTGATGACTTCTGACTTCTGAGGGTAACAGGCATGCAACACATGCTTACATGTAGGCAAAGCACTCATAATACAATAAATATTAAAATGCTGGGAACCAAATTCAGGTCCTCTGCAACAGCAGTGTGAGGGCCTTTAACTACCGAGCCATCTCTCCAGCCCAACTGGACGTATCTTTTTTTGTTGTTGTTTTTTCGAGGCAGGGTTTCTCTGTGGCTTTGGAGGCTGTCCTGGAACTAGCTCTTGTAGACCAGGCTGGTCTTGAACTCAGAGATCCGCCTCCCAAGCGCTGGGATTAAAGGCGAGTGCCACCACCACCCAGCTCTTTTTTTTATGGTTTTTTTGAAACAGGGTTTCTCGGTGTAGCTTTGGAGCCTGTCCTGGCACTCACTCTATAGACCAGGCTGGCCTCAAAGTCACAGAGATCCACCTGCCTCTGCCTCCCAAGTGCTGGGATTAAAGGCGTGTGCCACCAATGCCCGGTGACTGGACATATCTTAAACAAGGCCTAACTCTAATAGACCTGGCGTCTCATCCCAACTGACCAAGATCAAGAAGGGCAAATGGTGTCAGAAAATCTACCTATAAGACAGTGAGTGGTCACCTCTTACCTCAAATGTGATCCTTAACACATGACTAATGGACATAAAGCCAGGAAATTTAACCACTATAAAAGTACCCCATTTCTTCTTGGGGTCTAGTTCTTTCTGAACATTTCCCTGCTGTTTCTATGGTATATATTCCCTTTCATCTTTCCTACAGACAGGATCTCACATAGCCTAGGCTGATTTTTTTTTGTTGCTGTTGTTTTTCAAGACAGGATTTCTCTGTTTAACATCTCTGGTTATCGTGGAATTCACTCTGTAGACCATGCTGGCCTGGAACTCACAGAGATCTGACTGTCTCTACCTCCTGAGTGCTGCTGGAATTAAAAGCTTGCACCACTACCACTTGACTGCCCTGACTGATCTTAAACTTACTGTGTAGTCGAGGCATGCTGGGAGTACAGTTTTATGCCAACAAGCACAGTTTAAACAGTGTTAGAATCAAATCCAGGGCTTCAGGCATGCTAGGCAAGCACCCTACCAATTGAGCTACATCCCCAACCTCTTTTGTTTTGCTTTGTTTTGAGACAGGGCTTCACTGTGCAACCCAGGCTGGCCTGGAACTCACGAAGATCCATCAGCCTCCACCCCTACTGCAATTAAGGTGTGTGCTACCTGGGAGCAGCTCAGTGCTTCACTGGCCTCTGGGAAGCTTTTGTGGCTCTGAGCAGCACCATCATGGGTCACAAGTATGATGAGGTCTGCTCAGAGACCGGGACTTGAGTGGACCCATGTCGGACCTTCTAAGATGCTCCTCCCGCCCTCTTCTTTATACCCCTTGGGTTCAAGATGGCTCTTGTGCCTCGTGTGGGACCTCCTCATCATGTTCGACTTTGAAGCCTTCTACCGGGCACACTACGGAGAATACTCTGGGAGCGAGACCCTCCGCAAAACTCAAGAGGACCCAACCAAGAAGGTGCTCAGCTGGTACGAGACCCGAGATACCACTTTCTTTGCTCTTCTTTTCCTCATCTTCGCCTTCTTGTTGGTTTTCGTCTTTGACTTTCTATTTAATTGGAAAATAGTGGGGGGGGCGGGGAGAAGCAGTCCAAGTAACCTGCCTTTCTTGACCTTTAAACTATTGATCTTGGATTGAATTGACTACCTCTAGTGCTATTCTCTTGGCTCTCCCAGCTTGGTGGGTGATCAACTACATCCCTCTACTCAGTCCAGAAAAAGGAGCCCTTCTGTGGCCAAGAAAGAGACCTCGGGGTGATTTCTGAAAATCAGAAATTTAAGTACTTTCAAGGTCTCCTGGAAATTTACTTGTTTCTAGAAGTTGCCTTCCAGATCTCAAGTTCCAGAACACTTGTTCTGGTTTTATCTGGAATCCTTGAGCAAGAGTTGTCCCCCTCCACACGCTTGTACCATGGGGTGCTTCCTCTGTGACCTTTGAAAGGTGCACGGGGACTGGCTGTTCACTGCCAAAAGAATAATTCGTGGGGCTTGCATGAAACCTGTCTTTCCTCAAGTCACCGGTGAGAATCAACGATCCAGCGGATGCCGGGCTGTAGTTCACTGGTAGAATACCAACACGCAAAAGGCATCTGGTTCAGTGCCCAGCTTTGCTGTCTTCGTGTGCCCCCCTTCTCTGCCAATAAAGAAGTTTGTGAAAGATTGTCATTTTCTCGGGTTTGTTCCACACCACCTTTGTCATGTGGGATGGAGAAAGCAATGTTCCTTGATTATGAGGAATATGAGGAATGGTCCTATGTCCGTATTTATCTAGGGTGTGACCTTGGGGAACGGTGCTATATGCGCATAACAGCAGAAGAGTAAATAATTTGCCCTGGGGGTGTGGTGTGTGTGTGTGTGTGTGTGTGTGTGTGTGTGTGTGTGTGTGTGTGTGTGTGTGTGTACTTCTACATCCAGCCTGATGTAAAAAGGGTTTTCTTTAAATACGTTTTTTGGAGACAGGATAGGATATCTCTGTGGCTTTGGAGGCTATCCTGGAACTAGCTCTTGTAGACCAGGCTGGTCTTGAACTCACAGAGATCCGCCTACCTATGCCTCGCAAGTGCTGGGACTAAAGGCGTGTGCCACCACCGCCTGGCTTAAACACAGTTTGTTTTGTTTTTTTGTTTTTTTTTGGTTTTTCGAGACAGGATTTCTCTGTATTGTTTTGGAGGCTGTCCTGAAACTCGACGAACTCGATGACCAGGCTGGCCTCGAACTCACAGAGATCCGCCTGCCTCTGCCACCCGAGTGCTGGGATTAACGGCGCTTGCCACCAATGCCCGGCTGCTTAAACACAGTTTTAAAACTTATTTATTTTATGTACATGGTACTCTATCTGTATGTATCCCTGCAGGCCAGAAGAGAGTACCCGATCTCATTATAGATGGCCGTGAGGCATCATGTGGATGCTGGGAATTGAACTCAGGTCCTCTGAAAGAGCAGCCAGTGCTCTTAACCGCTAAGCCATCTCTTCAGTCTCTGTAAAGGGTTTTTAAAAAGCATTTTTAGATATATTTTATGTGTGGGGGTGTTTCACCTGGGCACTGTGTGTGTCTAGTGCCCCTGGAGACCAGAAGAGGGTGTAGAAGAGGGTTCAGTATCCCCTGGATCTGGGGTTACTGATGGTTGTGAGCTACCAAGTGGATGCTGGGACCAAATGCAGCTCCTCAGCAAGAGCTGCAGGTGCCCTTAACTGCTGAGCCATGGCTCCAGCCCCCAATGTAACTACTAATAAAGAGGGCCAGTGAGTTAGCTCAGCAAGTAAAGGCACTTCCCACCAAGCCTGAGTTCAATCCCAAGGACCAACACGGTAGAACCAACTCCTGAAAGCTGCCCTCTAGCCTCCTCAGCAACGCCCTGGCACCAAGAATCTACACAACACACACAAAATAAAAGTTCTAAAACTTTATACTTGCTGGGCGGTGGTGGTGGCGCACACCTTCAATCCCAGCTCTCAGGAAGCAGAGGCAGGCAGATCTCTGAGTTCAAGGCCAGCCTTGTTTACAGAGTGAATTCCAGGACAGGCAGAGCTATACAGAGAAATCTTGTCTCAAAAACACCAAAAAAAGATGTAAAAAATTATACTTTTTATACATGCTGGGGGCTGGAGTCAATACTCAAAACTGCCTAAAAAGCAGACGTGGTGGTACACAGCTGCAACCCCCAAACTCTGAGAGTGGACCCCAAGAGGGTCAGGAATTAAAAGTCATTGTCAGCTAAACAGCAAATGTGAGGTCAGCCTGCACCGCTATCAGGTCTGAGAATGGCATATATATGCTTTTCCCAGAACAAACTGGGCTCTTTGAACTTGTTATTAATTTAGAAAGTGTGTTCCCTGCCATCCCTTTTCGTGCGCTTTTGTAAGCAGTTATCTCGGGCACCCTTATCACAAGGCCAGAATGTACAATCAGGAATGCAGCAGCTCCTGGGAAAACAGCCCACTCCTCCAGAACCACAGCGCTTATGTAGAGGCAACGTCTCTCAAGACTGGACATAGCGTCCAACAACTATAATCCTTGCACTCAGGAGGCAGAGGCAGGAGGATCATTGCAAGTTCTAGGTCAGCCTGACACCTGAGGTAAGTTCCATGCTAGCCAGAGCTACATAGCAATACCCTGTATCAAAAAGAAAGAAAGAGGAAGAAAAAAAAAACAAAGGAAAAAAATTAAGATGGGTAACCATAGCTAATGACAAACCAGGAGACCCCAACCTTCTCCAGATTGAGAGAAAAAAGGGTATTTGGTATGGTGGCACAGGCTGAATCTCCAAAAAGAGGGAGGGTGTGGCAGGAAGATTTTGAATTCAGAGCCGGCTTGTACTGCATAGAGATCTGTCTAAAAAAAAAAGGTGGAGGGGGAAATGTGTCAAGCATGTTTCTGATCCCAAAATTTAGGAGTATGAGGCAGGACTGAGTTCTTAAGTAGCATGGGCATAGTGAGTTCCAGCTACACCTGGACTACAATGAGACCTCGTTGGGGTGTGTGTGTAAAACATGGACCTTTTGTTTACAGAACTGGCCTGGTGTCTCACTCAGGACTGCTCTCCATTCTTCTTTCCCTGACCCATGTCCCTTTCTTGTCCAATTCATATTTGCTTGAAAGTGTCCCTTTCTCTGGCTCGATTTCATTCCCATTGTCATTAAGTTGGAAGGGACACCTCCATGCCTAGTAACAGCTATTTTTATACAATTCTTTTTGTACTTTTCTAGTATAGAAAATGTTTTGGAACCTTGCGTGGTGGCGCACGCCTTTAATCCCAGCACTTGGGAGGCAGGTGGATCTCTGTGAGTTTGAGGCATAGCTAGACTTTCACAGATAAACTGTCTTGAGAAACTAAAAACAGAAAAGGAAGGAAAGAGAAAGAAAGGTTTTGGAAAATGGATCGCTGTACTAACTTGCTATGAAAGGTGATTTGTGTCAGGCATGGCGATGTGGACCTCTAATTCTAACATGGGGAGGTGCAGGCAGAATCATCAAGAGGCCAAGGCCAGCCTTGGCTAAACAGAGTTTGAGGCTTGTGTGTGCTACATGAGACCTTGTCTCAAAATAGAAAGGTAATAAAAAAAAAAGTCTGTTTATTTTTGGTCTTATTTCTTGGAATTTTTGTTGTTTTCTTTTTCTTTTTTTCTTTTTGGTTTTTCGAGACAGGGTTTCTCTGTATTGCTTTGGAGCCTGTTCTGAAACTCGCCTGTTCTGAAACTAGCTCTGTAGACCAGGCTGGACTCGAACTCAGAGATCCACCTGCCTTTGCCTCCCAAGTGCTGAGATTAAAGGCGTGTGCCACCACCGCCCAGCTGTTTCTTGGATTTTTAAAAAAGATTTATTTATTTATTTTATGTGCACTGGTGTTTTGCCTATATATACTGTGCGTGAAGGTGTCTGATCCCTTCAAACTGGAGTTACAGACAGTTGTGAGCTGCCATGTGGGTACTCGGGAATTGAACCTCAGTCCTCTGGAAGAGCAGCTAGTGCTCTTAACCACTGAGCCATCTCTCCAGCCTGTTTCTTGGATCTTAATGGTGGGTTGTAGGCTCTCATGAAAGCATTTCAAAGTAAGGATGAAGAACTCTGCTTCTCAAAGCTATTTAAGGTAAGATGATTTGAAATCCTTTCAAATGGTGTCTATTTCTCAATTGTTTGCTGGCCTGATGAAAGTCAAGACCTGCGGTCTTGGTCATTGTTACTTGGATAGTGACACTGCAAGTCTTAACATTTTGAGTGGGGCAGGATTGAGATTGTCGAGTGTCAAGCAGTATTGATATTATGCTCTGTACTTCTTCACTTGGTAATTTAGCAAAAATTCGAGGTAGACAATAGAGCAGGCCCATGATATAAAACTACACATTGAAAATCAAGATCTGGGACTGAAGAAATGGCTCAGTGGTTAAGGCACTTGCTACTTTAGTGGAGAACCAAAGTTCAGTTGCCAACACTCACATCAGGGGACTCACAACTGTCTGTCACTCCAGTACCTCTTCTAGATGGTACACATATATACACTCAGACAGACAAAGATGCGTGCGCATGTACACACACACATACACACAATTTAAAAACCTAAAATCAAGGAAATACCCAGAATTATCAGGGTCAGAGTCTTAATTAGGGTCAGAGCTTAGGCCCAGGCAGCCTGAACAATCCAGGTTCAGCCAACCATCCTTAATGTGCCAACTAGACAGTCACAGAGAGGTGATTTATTCAATATGGCCACACTGGGAAAAGAGCAAAGAGGTCTAGTGACCTTATCTCCATCCCTTATCCCCAGGTTCTCCTATCCCCAGAAGGCTGTTTTCCAGGCTCCTCACTAGAGATTTGGGTTTAAATAGAGCATGCAGAACTAAGCAGTCTGGTCAAAGGTGTACTGTCCATCCCTGACACATGCCCATCTTGGCTGTAGTCTCTCAGACAACGTCACTTGAAAAGCTGTCAGAATTGTGGGAATCTCTTTCTAGGAGACAAGCTCCCCTTTGGCTGGCACTAGCGTCACAGCCTTTTCCTTCTCCTATGGTGACAGTCCTGGGAAAATTCTAGTTTCTTTGATTCCATTTTCTCAATAGCCTGATAGTAGAAAGAACTGTCCCTGCTTAGGGCATCTCAGCTCCTGCCAGGGTAGGTACAGTCAAATGATGGAGGTTGCATACCTGTGGCCCCAGCACTTCGGAGGCTGTGCAAGAAAATGTGTTTGAGGCCAACCTGGACTGCATTGAGATCTTATCTCAAAATAATAGTAATAATCATAATGGCTTCTCTTGGTGTCTTTTGTTTTTTTTTTTTTTTTTCGAGACAGTGTTTCTCTGTGGCTTTGGAGGCTGTCCTGGAACTAGCTCTTGTAGACCAGGCTGGTCTCGAACTCACAGAGATCCGCCTGCCTCTGCCTCCCGAGTGCTGGGATTAAAGGCGTGCGCCACCAACACCCGGCCTGTCTTTTGTTTTTTACAGGAATAATTGTTTCAAAAAATACGCAAACACAAAGGGAAAAATTTGGTTGCTGAACAGAATTAATACTGACATTTTTTTTTTTTTTTGGTTTTTCGAGACAGGGTTTCTCTGTATTGTTTTGGAGACTGTCCTGAAACTCACTCTGTAGACCAGGCTGGTCTCGAACTCACAGAGATCCGCCTGTCTCTGACATTTTTTTATTTTTAGTTTTCGAGGCATTGTTTCTCTGTGTAGCTTTGACACTTGTCCTGGAACTCACTCTGTAGACCAGGCTGGCCTTGAACTCACAAAGAACTGCCTGCCTCTGCCTCCCGAGTACTGGGATTAAAGGCGTGCGCCACCACCGCCCGGCTAATGCTGATATGTTAACATATCACTTCCATATTTTGTTTTTAAGTGTTGAGTCTTGAACTTCAGAAATTCTAAGCAACAGCTCCATCACTGAGCTAAGTCCTCTATACTTACTACTATGAGCTAGTTTCATTTTTTTTTTTTGAGACAAGGTTTCTCTGTGGCTTTGGAGACTGTCCTGGAACTAGCTCTTTGGAGACCAGACTGATCTCAAACTCAAAAGAACCGCCTGCCTCTGCCTCCCAAGTGCTGGGACTAAAGGCGTGTGCCACCACCACCCGGCTGATTTTGTTTTCATTTTCTTAAAAAATCCTACATATTTACTTGTATAATTTATATTATAAATGAGCTCAAAATGGAATAATCTGAGATTTGAGAAATGGCTCAGCAGTTAAGAGCACTGGCTGCTTTTCCAGAGGACCTGGGTTCAGTTCCTAGCACCCATATGGTACTTTACAACCATCTGTAATTCCAGTTCTGACCTTTGTAGATACTGGACATATATGCAAAATACCTGTACACATAAAATGAAAATAAATCTAAAATAACCCTTTTTTCAAAAAAGGAAGAGTCAGGCAAGGTGGCACACACCCCTAATCCTGGCAGTGGGGGAAGCAGGGGCAGGCTGATTCCTGTGAATTAAGGCCAGCCTAGTCCACATGGAAAGTTCTAGGCCAGCCAGAGCCATATACTGAAACCTTGTCTCGAAAACAAAAGAAAACAAAAATTAGAAAAAGGGAGAATTCTAGGAGTTATAAGAGCCACTAGTGGCTGTATAAGGTTGGTTACCTTTGATCTGACATTAAAGAGATATGTTCTGTTAGAAAGGATTGGAACAAACAGTATAGACCACTAGGAAGAATACAAATACAAATGGACCAATCACTGTGTTAGTTACTTTATTCGTTGCTATGACCATTCTAATTAAAATTGAGTTATTTTTAAGAGTATGAAATGTTTTGCCTGTATATGTACCATGTGGGTGCTGGGAATTGAACCCAGGTCACCAACTTAGTTTTTGAAACAAGATCTCTTATATACTAGATTGGTCTCAAATTTACTATGTAGCTGAAGATGACCCTGAACTACTGATACTCCTGCTTTTATCCCCAGTATTGAGATTACAGTTGCCACCATGTCCTTCTCTGTTATTTTCTTTATCATTAAATAATAACAAATATTACATTTAATTGGTTGTTGTTGCAAACCAGTCACCCCACTGGGCTGTAAGACATTAGACATATTCAACCTCCCCTTCCCAGCCTTTAATGACCATTGTTCTAGTTTTCCTTCTATGTAATCAACTTTTTTCCCCTTCCAAGAAGCCATGGGTGTTTGGTTGAAGGAGTGGCTATGGTAATCCCCTCGATTCAATCATTATGCATTATGTGCATATATCAAATGATCATGCTGTTCCATAAATATGTATAATGGTTATGTCTCGATTAAAAATAATTCTTGAGATAATAACCAACAGTTTTACTCCCAAGTCAAACACATGACTCCTTGGTCGGGTTTTGGTTGCTTCTTTCTGTGGGAAGGCAAGTGTAGTGAGTTCTATTCTATGCCACCCTGGTGGACTCCAGTCTCAAAGAGGTCCAGATAGCCTTAATGCTACGGCTTGAATCAAACAGAGGCGCTAGAACCTCAAAAGATGCCAGGAGAGACAGGGAACGGTCAGGGAAGGATTCCAGGAAGAGAGGACACGGCCATGCGTCTCAAATGGAAGCCTGACAGAGAAGCCGCTTCAACCCGAACACCCCACCCCCGCCTGCACTGGGCTCCCCCA